TTCAGCTTGACTGTTGTTGGTGTATAGGAATGCTAGTGATTTTTGCACATTGATATTTTTATATCACGAGACTTTGCTGAAGTTGTTTATCGGCTTAAGGAGCTTTTGGGCCAAGGCTATGGGGTTTTCTAGGTATAGGATCATGTAGTCTACAAACAGGGATAGTTTGACTCCCTGTCTTCCTATTTGGATGCCTTTCATTTCTTTCTCTTGCCTGATTGCCCTGACTAGGACTTCCAATACTATGTTGAATAGGAGTGGTGAGAGAGGGCATCCTTGTCTTGTGCTGGTTTTCAAGGGGAATGCTTCTGCCCAATCAGTATGAGATATAGTAACTTTGAAAGAACTTCTTTTTGTTTTTCCTCATCAGATCCACGGAATGGCTTAGTGCAGTTTAGATTTGTGAGTGGCCAATTGAATTCTTGTAAATAATTTCTTTTTCCTATCTAATTTGGAAAACAAATGTGAACAACTCTGAAGGAGGCTGTGGTTACATGTGTTAATCAGAGGTAACCTATTTGGTTCCTGGTCGGTAGAACTTCTGGGAAAACAATAGTTAAAATTTAAAATGACACAACAATTAAATCCATGATCTATTCTCTGCTGTTGAACCAAGGCCTACCTGGACCAACAACACAGTGGCTTTCCAAGACACCAACTTTCAAAGGTTAAGAATTTGCTTCATATTTTGAATTCCTTAATGACATTCTGTTGCGGTCTCACCCATAGATTTATATATTCAACAGGCTAAAAAGTTAATTGTTGTTTGTCTATAAAGTGATTTACATTTTGATGAGGGCCTTAGATGAACACATAAAATATATACTGATCAAATTTAGGAATGACACAAATCTGAAAAAGATAACTAATATTTTTGATGAAGGGATTGTCAGATCACAATTGAATTGTAAATCAAAGCAAACAAGAGGAAATTTAACAGAATACACATAAAGGTTGATGCTTCCGTAAAAAATAAGTTGTCAAATATAGAATGGGAATAGGAGAAACCTATGTTCATAATAGTCATGTGAAAATAGTGATGAGCATTTTAGGAGACTTTATATTAAGTCAAGTGTGTTAAGATATAATGGTTTCATTCTACTTTGCACTAAGTAGATAAATATCTAGAATATTGTGACCAGTTATGAGAGCTACACATGGGACTTTGAAAATCTGAAGAGGTGTCAGTTTTAACCTAGCAGGAGGTGTTCAATTTTTCAGACATGTCCTGGGAAGAGAGGATGAATCAGTTGGGATCATCCAAGCAGGAGGAGAGAAAGCTTATGGAGCCTGAGGGGTTCCTTCAGATGCCTGAAGTTCTCTCTATGCTGTAAAGGCTGCTTCACAGCATAGTGAACATCTTGCTGCTCAATGTGAAGGATGAAGCTAGGACAACAACCTCAGATGATGGATGCCATGAAAGGGACATGGGTTGGTGGGAAGTGCATGGCCCTGAAGATTCTTTCCAACTCTATGATTATTTGTTATTTGAGGTTCAAGAATAATACCATTTGAAGAGTCATTTTTGTACATCTTTTATGAAATTTGATGTGCCCCTTGCCTGTTCCTGTTTTCAAATTTCAGCTATATTTCCCCATGAAAATTTTGAGAATGTTCACATGACTTCAGTATTTAGAGATGTCAGTAAACTTACATAGCGCCTGTCTGTAAGCCTCTTTGACATTCATATGCTGTCAAATTGCTTCACTTGTGGTCTCAGCAAGATTAGGGCTGTTTCTTTCTTCATCCTCTGAGCTAGGATTTATTGCATTATTCTGAAGTTTTACAAAAACACACATACATTCCAAATGCATATCTTTTTGGCTCTTTGTGAATCTTAGGTGTGTTAAATTAGGAAATAGTATATAAAAAAAAAGGCTTCAAGAGTAAATGAGATAATAACTTTTTCTAATTAATTCTTTAGAGGCTCTTCCTGAGAAGAATTTTGCTGGGTACACATGTCCACCAGCTCTGTCTCTCTCCTAGACATCCTCTTTTGCCCCCATTACCTTCTTTGCTGCTAACACAACAAGGTATATTAGCCCTTGAAATTAAAGATACTGCTGTCCCAGTTGTGCTTGTCTTCATCTAAAGGCAAACAGTCATATTCCAAAAGACTATATATTAGTGATATCTATATAATTCACCCTTCATATCCATGAGTTCCTATGTGTGGAGTGAACTAGTTGCAGATAGAAAATATTTGGGAAAAAATTTCATGTGTACTGAACATGTACAGACTTTTTTTCTTGTTTTCATTTCCTAAATAATACAGAATAATAACCACTATTTACATAACATTTACATTGTATTAGGTATTATAAGTAATCTGTAGATAATTTAAACTATACAGGAGGATATGCATATGTGAATGCCACATCATTTTATATCAAGTACTTGAGCATCTGCAGATTGTGGTGTCCATGGGAGGTACTGGAACCAACTTCTATAGATAGTGAGGGACAATTATGTTTCTTCAGGTTTTGAAACCAACATAATTTTGGAATGGCACCTGAAATTGATAGCAGCAGTCTTCATTACATCTTTTGAGGTATCCTAGAGATCCTCAGGCCTCAGTTTGAATGTCACCATAGGGTTATGGGGGTGCAACAGATAGTAAGCTATCAGGCCAAGTGAGTGAGCAGCTCTAGGAAATGTATAGTGACCCTTTTCTGGCTGTGGCTTAGCTGAACATTCTTACCAGACCCCCAAATCCAGGTTGGTTCATGTGGAAAAAGGTAAAAGGATCTTCTTAATGAAGGCCATTTTTAGGCCTGTTTGAATTTAGCAGCTCAGATAGGAGAGGGGCATTAAATAGTGAAAGGGCAATGTCTGCAGGAATAACACTGCCAAACAAAACAGTTAACTGGCTTTCTGGAGGACCAGAAATCATCATGGCAAGATATCATTGTTCAAATTAGTGGTCAAGAGTTGCAATCCTACTTTTGCCCTTGGCTGGCATGTGTTGAGGAAAGTTGACCTTAGCATGTGGGCTGGTGGGCCAAAAAAGAAAGTGATGCTATCTGCCTCTTTTAGAGGCCAACCTCTGCCCACTGGGAAGCATTTGTTACAGGTTTTCACAATTTCTAAATATATTTGTGTGGCCGTATAGACTTAAAAAGAGAAATGCTTAAGCTTATGTTTAATAAGAAAATGTAAAATGCAATTTGAAGCTTTATTATCCTCAACTTTCATGAGATACACACGGATTTTTGTTTGTCCTTATTCTTATACATAAAATTGCATTATCTTGCTGGCATTAAGTATTTGTAGATGAGGAATACACTATCTCACCATTTCCCTTTTTTCTCAGTTTTCTGTAAACATACGTGCGCACACACACACACACACACACACACACGCACACACCCTGACATCTAGGACAACAACCTGTTGTTGTTGAGGCTGAGCACTGTTTACTGTTTCTAACATTTTGCCATCTCTTGGAGCTTCTCCTTTTTCCTACTGCTACCCCAAAGAGAGAGATGTAACTATTAATCAACTTTTATGGGAAATGGAAAATAGACTGTCTAGCCTAGCATTGTACAATAGAGCTTTCTGCAATTATGCCAATGTTCTGTAGTTTGCACTGCCCGGTACAGTAGCCATTAGTCATATATTCCTATTTTGCATTTGAAATGTGGCTACTATGATTGAGGAACTGAATTTCTAATTTTATTTCATGTTAATGTAAACTTAAATCGCCATATGTGACTAGTGGCTACCATATTAAACACAATAACAATTGCCAAATAATTTATAGCATCAGAAAATGTGCTGAGCAAATGTACTAATCAGTGGGATGCAACGTTCTAAATACCTCTTTTCTATATTGAGCCAAATGGTACTTAGAAGTAATGCAACATCATTTTTGATAGATGTTAAGATGATCATCAAAAAAGATAAATAAAAGCCAATATCCATCTAAAGCATTTGTAATTGATTGTAGAGACCATTTTCTATTTTATGCTAGATGCTTTACATATCTACTTTACAGTTGTATCATCTATTATTTTCACAAGAATTCCAAGTTAGATATTATATTTTCCCATTTCATGTAAGGCAGGAAACTGCAGCACACCAATTTAAAATAACAAACCAAGGTCACACAGCTCCACACAGTGGAGGTAAGTTTTGAACCCAGGTCAGGCTCTCCTGTGATGCATTTCACAATGAATATTTCCGACATGATCTTCTAGGGCGCTTGTGCATGCCTGCCTAGTCGTCATTTGGAAATAGGGCAGGTGTCAAGAACATGAGCCCTGGCACCACACTGCTTGTTTGAATCCTGCCTCTACTATTAACACCTGTATAAAGTTGAGCAAGTTACTTAATATCTCTGGGCCTTGATTTTCTCGTTTTAATATGTCAATATTAAAAGTACCCATCTCATTGGGTTACTGTGAGGGATTAAATAAGTTAACAGTATCTGGCACATTGTTTGAACTATATATATTTCCCATCATAATTATTTTTAATTTAAAAAACACTGCCATTTATGTTAGGATGTTGATTTGATATGATAATAAATGAAGCAGAGATATGCTTTGGGTGTGCTTCCCTATGAAATAAGAGAGATTCGAATCATTCAGATAATTCAGGAAGAAATACCCTGCTGTTTAGCTACCTTGGTGTCTCCGTCAGTAGGATTATAAAGTTTCAGAGCCCACATGCCCTGGCCAATTTCTCATCTCTTTGCTTGTCATGTTACCCTTATAGACATCCCCTTTGGTGTCTTTGATTGGTTCTGAATGCTGAGCAGTGACATGCACCAACACAGCTGGAAAGGCCTGTAAGATTTGCTGTTCTGTCTTCCAGCAGGGAATTATTGCCATGGATACGAATATCAGAGGAAGACTGGGGAGCACTCTCCACTCGCCTCCTGAGTGTCTGACATCTGTTTCTGGCAAGGCCAATAATGAGTATGCTGCTAGCTTCATATCACATGAGGGTCTGATTCACACCTCTTTTGTTTTTGTTTTGTTTTGTTTTTGTCACAGATGGCCTCTGCCCAAGATGCCAGGTATGGCCAGAAAGACTCCTCTGATCAGAACTTTGACTACATGTTCAAATTACTCATCATCGGCAATAGCAGTGTGGGGAAAACATCTTTTCTATTCCGTTATGCAGATGACTCCTTTACATCTGCATTCGTCAGCACAGTTGGGATCGATTTCAAAGTAAAAACTGTATTCAAAAATGAAAAGAGAATCAAGCTTCAGATTTGGGTAAGTGGCTTTGAACTGGCGGTGTTCTTCAGTCTGGGGTGTTGAACATATCCATGTGTAAGGGAGAAACTTTCTGCCTTGTTCTATCCCCAGGGCATCCACAAGCCTCAATTTCCAGCCTCTTTGCTGCAGCACATTCTGTTTCAAAGAAAGTAGTGGTGATGCCTCTTTAAGATATGAAGGGTGAATTATTATGCCTTGTTGTCATGTGGTGCTCTATCTTGGTGGTGGTGGAAGGAAAAGTTTGGCTCTGCCTTTTATGATCTGTGTAACCTTGAGAAAGTCTGTGACTCCTTCTCTGACATTTTTGTAATCTGTAAAATAGGCTACGTAGATCTGGGCTTTGAGGTCACAGAGAGCAGCCTTTCCTGGGCATTTTAAAGAAAAAGATAAACAACCAAATATAGGAAAAGTGTAGGTTTAGACCCTTCATAAAGCTCCAGATAGAACTTCAAAGATGGTCTATTTATACTGTGCAAACTGTTTTCAACTCTAAGAGCTATGTTTATATATGCAAATAAAACAAATGAAATGAAATATTTATTTGAAACAGGGTCTTCACCAAGTAGAAGGTTCTCCCAAAGTTGTGAGACCATTTGGCTAGCTTTTTGCCTCTTACCTCCAGAAGAAGATCAGAGGTAGCTTAGCCAAACTGGTGGGATAAATTTAGGAGACCAGTGAGCAAAAAACAGAGGAAAATGTATGTGGATAGCAGGTCCAAGGCAATATAAAAGATGAAGCAGCCAATTTAAAAAAAATGGTTACACCAAAAAAGACTGATGTAGTAAATATTTTATGGCTATCATAATATGTACATAGGAAGAATGTTTCTACAGTAAATTTTGGCATCTTTTTCCTATTCCTTTGTACCTCTGCCACTCAAATTGATTTGCTCTGTAATCAGGCAGTTCCCAAGAGGTGTTTTCTACCTCCTTCTGAGACATTTACAACAGCTACTACCACTTGGTGCTGGTGCCAGGACTGATCAGTAGGACTGACAATAAGCCTCCCTTCATAAATATGGAAAGCTAAAAACAAAAAACAAACAAATCCCAGAGTAGAGGATTTTAACTTTTTTAAAAAAAGAAAACAGCCCTTTATTTAAAAAATCTGTATAAAGTGAATGACCTTTAAACATCTTAAAGGTCTTATTAAAGTAGAAATTTAAAGTAAAAATTAAAGATGCAGGTATATACACAGACAGGTACCTTCTTAGGTAGCTTACGATAGGCCGTTACTGTTTTACTTATTCTAACTCTAGAGTCTTTCAAATCTCGTTATAATTCACAGGCATGCATCACATAAGAACTTGTACAAGTAGGCCTTAGGCTGGGCATATTCCCTGCTCCATCATTCCCCAAAGGCGTTTTTATTGGGAGTGTTTCTCATCAGAAACTTGACCTCAATTAATGTAGATACCAATCTCACACTCCTCTGTATGGAGACAGAAAAAGCTTTGTCCATTGCTTCATGTATGGGTCCTGATTCATTCTCTTCCTTTTAAACTGCAGGCAACCCAATTGTTATCTGATACATTTGATATTTAGTTTTAAGAAAGGTTCCTTAATTCTCAGGGGCTTTGGTGAACGGAAAATTAAATTAATTTGGAAACTATACATCCCTTAACTCCGTGACAATGTTCTTTTTGCTAATATGAAAGAACAATCATTCCTCTGGTTGATAGCCCCACTTTTTCTTCTCTTCTTTTCGTTGTAGAGATAATTAAAAATAGATGTTAGAATCATTTAGATAAAACATCAACATGGTGTGTTAAGCCAGTCTTATAATTTCTGGCAAATTTTCAATGTAGTTTTTTGACAGAAATTCTTTGTTGAGGTACAAAAATTATCTAACTTTAATGTAAATCAGATATATTTCAAATAATATAAATTATTTTTCACACTTAAAAATATTTTCTTTAAAGCAATGCTGGTCCCTAGCCAGTGCTAATTCACTCACCTTTTTTGGGGCATTGAAATAAGTTATTTATGTCTACATCTCACTTCTGGATGAATATAGCTCTTCTCTGGCCAACCAAAGCTCAGATCCCTGAGCTGCTTCTACTCTAATACCTCCTCATGCTGCTCAGTTTCCATAAGTTCACGAAAAAGTCTCTGAAATATTATTCTCTCCAAATTTGTCTCTGATCTTCCACAATCTACTAGATTCTTAAAAAAATAAAACTCTTTAAGTCTATAGACAGTCAGGCCTGAGACCTCATTCTAGGGCCTCCATTCTCCTGCTCTGTGGATGCCCACACTCCCATCAGGGTTCAGTCTCTTGGGAATCCTTCACTTTTCCCTCCTTGTCAGTCACAATAGTAGATTAATGACCATTAATATTATTGCAATGAAAACATAATCCAATTTCTTCCTCTTTAGGTACATTAGGAGCCCCTAAGTCATATCTGATTCTAGGAGTGTGAAAATTGGTTTTACAATAGTATATATAATAGTGTATACTATTATATATACTATTGTGGTCTATTAGATTGTGAAACATTTAAAAGAAGTACAACGCAAAGATTTTATGCTTATGGAACTTGCAGTATAGTTAGAAAGGGAAATTAATACTTATTGAATAATTATGTACTTCTACAAGCAAATACCAAATTGTATAAATATGATGCATAGCTAGCATTTATTGAATACATAGCATATGTTAGGCATTATCTATGCCTTATCTCTAATTCTCACAACCAAACTTTTAATTTATTACTGTCCTATTTTACTTGAGAAATTTGCATATAGGACAGTTAAATAAGTTAAATAACTTGTTCAGGGTTGCACATAGTGAATGGCTAAGAGGGGATTCCAAGTTAGGTCTATCACATTAGAGTCTTCTTGAATATGGTGGTGGTTGTTTTTTTTGAAGATGGCAATCTTGAGTGATGCATTTTGGGATGTTGAAAATGTTCTTGAAAGAGTTCACATTGGAGGCATGCAGGAGACGAAATAATGAGGAGCAACAGTGGTATGCTTAAGTATAGGCAATCCTATAATAATTACGGGAATCCTTACATTATGCTATAATGTAAGTGTGCCGGAAAATATTTAGTTGTAGGTAGTTATGATTGTTTAACAACTCTCACAAATCACTTATTTGGAAATATATTTAGCACTGATGGCTTGTCATCTCATTGTGCTTTAATAACCAAGCAGTGAACTGCTCTTCCCAACTTATTGTATTTTTATACATTTACATTATGTGTAACTAATTCATTAAAACCCACATCATCTTCATCCTAGCCTATTATACATTTCAAAGAAAAGAGGCAAAATGGTTTCACGGTATGAAAGTCATCATGGGTTAATACACTATACCATTTTCTCTACCAAGACAAGTTTCAGACATTGATTTAATTTGGATCACTCTATTCATTTTAAACTGCTCCCAGATAGAACCGCCAAGTTAGGAAACCAAGATATAGAGAGGCTAAGTGATTTGACCTTACCTTACAGTTAGTACCACAGCGGAGCCTAAAGTCCAGGTCTCCTGCTAGCTGGACTAGTCTGATTTCTACTACATTATACTTCTTCTCCAGGTAAGTGTTGTATGACAAAAATTGTAATAAATCTCAACCTGGTTGTCAGTGGAATCCTCCAGCTATAGAAAAATCAAACTTGAGGCCAGTTTTCAAGTAGCATTTTTGTTTTTATTTTTATCTTTTTTGAGAAGGAGTCTCACTCTCTCTCCCAGGCTGGAGTGCAGTGGTGCAATATCAGCCTACTGCAACCTCTGCCTTCCAGGTTCAAGCAATTCTCCAGCCTCAGCTTCCAGAGTAGCTAGAATTACAGGTGTGTGCCACCACACCTGGTTAATTTTGATATTTTTAGGGGAGATGAGATTTCACCATGTTGGCCAGGCTGGTCTCAAACTGCTGACCTCAAGTGATCCACTTGAGGTCAGTCTCCCAAAGTACTGGGATTATAGACATAAGCCACCATGCCCAGCCTCAAGTGGCATTTTTACTGCATCAGGAAGGAAGATCCTGAGTGGGAAACCTCTCTTTGTTTTCTACTTGATGGTTTGCTTTCTTGTCATGCACTGCATAGGGATTTTCTGATTCTTCAAACTGGATTAGTAGATTTGCAACAGTCCACATTCAAATAAAGCATTTTAACAAGTAATAGACACATTTATACTTACCGAATGTGTTACACCTCCTGTCTGTGGAAGCAGGAAAGAATGGGAGGGTCAGAGTACGCAGGGTTCAGATTAGCTAGTTTGAACCATTTCAACGGGCTCTGGGACACAGGAGCGATCCCCCAGTTGCCTGGCACTTAGTAAGTCCTGGAGCGGTTAGGGCAGATGGATAGTGGCCCAGAGTGTGAAAGCCCTGAAATGGAGGTGGTTGGGAGTGTGTGCTCTGGATTGGTTGGTTTGCCTTTGAAAAGAGTGCTCCAGTAAGTTGTTTACTATCTCTAGAAACTGGCTAATCCTGGGAGGGTCAGTCCCTCCAGAATCAGTGACGCCCCAAATGTCAAAGCATCAGAATACAAAAAATAAAAAAAATCAAAAAATAAAAGACACGGTTAATACAGAGGGAAAGTTCTGGGGGCCTCAGGAGCCGTCTCTGTCACTAATTTCACTCTGACAGATGCTGTGATTCCCAAGTCTGTTACTTCAGGATTGGCACATTTTTGGGTCTCAGTATTTGGAGACCTAGTACCTTGAGTCACGAAAAGATCTGACAGATTTTCTGGCTCAACCTTTTCATTTGATGATACTACTAATAATAGCAACATTTATCAAGCCCAGTGCTGACACATAAAGTAAGCACTTTATGTTTCTATGCATTTTAAAATTTATTTTTTGCAACAACCAAATAAACCAAGGTGGTATTATTAGCTCTCTTTTATAGCAAGGTGGTATTATTAGCTGTCTTTTCTCTTAAACAGAAAACCAGAAAGACAAAGTGATTTGCCCAAGGTTGTAGTCACAAGCAGGATTCCAACCTGGGCGCTGAGTCCGAAGCCGGTGTACTTGACCACATGGTA